GTAGATGACAAGTGCTTCTGGATTTTGTCGTCGTGGCACTGGCCAAGCTTGTTGTATAAATGTAGCATCTTTTCACATTTTGAAGGGTTCAGAAGGTTCTAATACTCAGTTTTCCAAGAACCTGGTAAATCCCTACCTCTACTTGGTTGCCACATGGAAGGAGACAACAAAATCAAGATGGAATTTTCTAGTTTGCAGCTTAAACTTACTGCACAACCTTTAAAAATGAGGTTGCAAACCTCCGGTGTCCCTGAAGCCAAAGATCTTTTGTCTGACCAACTGTGATTCTGTAAAATCTCAATTATTTGCCAGAATTAAAAACTGAAATGATCTCACATAAATATTTTGGTTTCTGACTTTTCTGGAGAATGGAAAGATCTGATAACACTGGGTTCATATGATTGCCAGTCCTTGGCTGATAGAACAGAGTCCTTTCTTTCTTCCTCACTATCTGGGTTGGAGGGTAGGTCTAGCCACTGTGTACATTTCTACCCTAAGAGAGGTTGGGTCTCTTGATTGCTTTATTTGGTGGGATTCACTCTCCACTCTAGAGCTGCTCCATGAATGATAACACCCTTGTCACCGAGTCATGATAAATTTTTACCCTACAACTGTCCAGGGCTTTGCGAATGCTTTATTTGGAAGGTGCATCTTTGGCCTCAGATACCTCCTCACTAGGCAAGTAGCTCCTTGCTCTTCTTGGAAGGCTTTCTGGCTCTAGACCTTTAAGAATCCTACCCTCACTTCTATCTTAGTTCATCTATGGCTTAGTCACTGCAACTGTTTAAGGCTAATTCTCTCAGGGAAAAGCTTGGCTTTACCTGACCATCTAAGCTACTGGTTGGGTCTTAACAGTGGTGACTGTTCCAATTCTGTCTCAGATTAACTCCCACCAATGACGTTTGCCCATCCAAATAACCAGATTCTCTGTGATGGCTTCTCTCAGGTTGCCACATGGACGGACCTTCTAGAATCCCATCATTTCCTGAATACCAGAGAACAACTATATGTATTGTAAATATAATAGCTCTCCACAACACGAAAGATCATCTTTTTTTTTTAAGTAGAAACAAAGAAAAAGTAATTTTCAAAGGTAGAGATAATATGAAATGGGACGGAAAGCCAATGTTTAGTTAGCCAGATAAGTTAAAAGACTTCAACTGTTGGAGATGACTTGCTAAAAGAAATAAAATGGAATTTGAAGGATAACTGTGTAGTCTCCAACTGCATTAAAAAAAAAATCATGTCCTCAAGCTCAAGGTTGGAGATAGGGGCCTTCCTTGCAGGTCTTGCTGTTGTGGATGATGAGGATTCTGTTTGAGGGAGGGAGACCACCGTGACTTGAGTGCTAGAAGTGATTTCCCTTTAGATGTGTTCATTGAGTCCTGATAGCCTGTGGGCCTAACGCATTGTGTTGTGATTGACTGGTATACTGATTTTGAAAAAATTACAATGGAATCTCTTTGGATGAGGCATGTACTCTCTGGTCTTACGCATTTATGTTATTTTCCTAATTCTTAAAACTTTTTGTGTTTATGGATAGTCTTCCTTCCCCACCCTTCTGGGGGCACTGGGATCCATTTTTAAGCCCACACTTTGAGAGAGACATAACAAAAGGAAGGGAATCAAGAGATGATACAGACAGTAAAGGAATTAGACAGCAGTTTATGTTATAATCATTGAGAGGACCCCAGCTCTGTACCCTGGAAAGCTGTCTTCAGATACTTCAAGTACTTGAAGGACTGTCATGTGGAAGAGGAGTTAGATTCCATCCATCTCATGGAACATTTATGGACTCTGTGCCTTAACTTCAGTCACCAAGCTGAGAGGATACAGAGAGGAGCGAGTTGGCCTGTTTTCAAGGCCGAATTTATCACAGAGCAGAGGAGACACACAGGGACTGCTGTAAAACACTGACGCTGTGGTTCTCCGGAAGACAGACAGGAGGCGGCCGATTTCAGCTTGGCTTAGAAGGGCCTTTCCTCGCAATTAAAGCCCTCCCCAAACGGAATGGGCTGCCTTAGAAACTTAAAACCACCAGTCATATTGTCCAACTGTTGAAGATGAGCTACAGAAGCTTTGAAAGGAGGGCTGGAGTAGATGACTTTTCTACCTGTGTTAGTGTATGGTCCCAAGACCACTGACCTGCTTTCCTTGACTTATCTAGAGAGAGTTGTCACCATAGTAAATACCTGTGAGTTATACTCAGTATTCTGTGCGGATCACACTGGGCAGAGCTTTGCAGGGTTTCCATAGTGTGGAATTGCATTGATGTGTTTGTCTTCTGGAGATACCAAAGCCAGTAGGCTAGGGCCCAGCTGTAGTTTTTATTCATGGACTTGATAGAAGAACCCAGGGGTTTATTTGGCAGGTAGAGTCTTATTTCTGGTTGCCGTTTTTCTCCCTTAAAGTTTATTTATTTTTGAGAGAGAGAGGGAGTACAAAAGTTGGGGAGGGGAAGAGAGAGAAAATCCCAAGCAGGCTCTGTGCTGTCAGCATGGAGCCCAGTGCAGGCAGGGCCAGAATTCAGGAATGTGAGATCATGACCTGAGCTGAAAATAAGAGTCAGATGCTTTACCCACTGAGCCACCCAGATGCCTCTCTGGTTGCTTCTTTGGTGCGTTGGCTTACATCTGGCTCTGAGGATCATCATTACCTTTGACTTTTGTATTTTGAGGAAAGTCTATCTCTCACGCCCTCCAGGAACCCAAGTAACATCCAGAGATTAGCTGCTAACACAACAGATTTCTAATTCTTCCCCTTTGATAGCAGAACTTAAAAATAATACAAATTCCTATTGTGTCCCTAGAGAGCCCTCCGCCCTAGAAAATGTGTAAGTCACAATTTGGCTCCATACAGTTGACTAAACCAAGCAGAGGGGGCATGTCTTCATTGACTTCAAGGCAAAATGTTCTGGCCATGTCATTCTTGTCCTGTCCCCTTTCTGCTACCACATCACCACTGTCATCAACTCTAACATCCCCACTGCCTTTACAGTGTAACTGTGAGGAAGGCAGACATGGCCTCTTCTTTGGCAAGTGCATTGTAAGGCTCAGAAAGGCAGATGCTATCTGTGTTCAGCATTTCTTTCCAAGTTTTGCGTGTGCAACTCTGGTTTAGCTCTTTGGGACATTTCTCCCCGGATGTGTCAAAAATCACCTGAAGGATGCAGAAACAGAGTAAGTCAAGGGGAGCAAAACTTCCGCCTAGTTCCCGAAACTGCTGTCACTATCTATGCAAGGGAGACAGGCAATTCTTTCTAAAAAGCTTGGAGCCAGAATGAAACATGAAATTCCACAGCTGCTGTGGCTGCGGGATGTGTGGACCATGTCTATCATCCTGGCAGACGCCCTTTCCTTCCAGGAGTTTTCTCCCCTGGGGAAGTGGGAGTTAAACCAGCCCCAGGTTTTCCCCACACCCTCAGATGGAGTGGGCCGATCAGCCAAGCTGCCTGCCTCCCACACCGGGACCCCTGGCATTTCTAGGGTAACAGAGGCAGAGGGTGGAGGCTCTCAGCCCTGAGAGTTAATTACACCTGGAGGCTTGCAGGGGGAAAAACTGTGTGTGGATCCCATTATTCTCCCAAGCTAAGTAAAGCAGCTTTATAAATTCCACATACCATACAGTCTCCTCATTTGGAGTAAAGAGATCAATGGTCTTTAGTATATTCACAGAGTTGTACGACCGCTCCCACAATTCTAGGACATTTTCGACAGTCACTCTCCCATTTCCCCCCGGCTTCCCCAGTCTTAGGCAGCCACTCACTTTCTTCTCTATAAATTTACCTATTCTATTCCAGACATTTTGTTTAAATGGACGCACGCAACAGGTGTGTCCTTTGTTCCTGTCTCCTTTCACTTAGCATGTCTTCAGGGTTTGTCCACATTATCATGTATCAGGATTTTGTATCTTCTTATTGCCAAATAATATTCCAGTTTAGGAATATACTATGATTCATTCATCAGTTCCTCAGCTAATGGACATTTGGGTTGATTGCATTGTTTGGCTATATAAATACTGCCGCCAATATACAACGTGTACATGTTTATGTGTAGATACATGTTTTCATTTCTCCTGAGAATATACCTAGAAGTGGAATTTCTGGGTCAGATTGTAACTTTATGTCTAATCTTTTGAGGAACTGACAGACCTTTTCCACTTTACTGAGGTATTTCATAAAAGCTCCCTGTGGTGATTCTAGATGTGATTATAATGCCCTACCCATGTAGATAAGAATCCTTACTCTCCTCGTTTGGAAGTAAAGTAACTGCAGAGAAGATACCTGACCTAAAGGAGAGAACACTTTCAGAGCATTCACTTCTCCCAGTTGTACTTTTTCAGTGTTCCACATCTCACAGCCCTTGCTAGCAGTCTAGGATTAGCCTGGGCACCGACTAGGACCAGGCAATCTACTGCTGGGAGAGATTATGTGGTGTCCGCTTACGGCACGGGTTGGCTGCAAAGAGTTAAGTTGATGTGGAAAACTGATCCGTCCATTAAGTGGAGCAGGGTCACTGATATGTAATCCCCACTTCTGAGAATGTGACATTTCTTCTGTGTCATCACTTGGGGCTATCTGATAAAAACTGAGTCACACGTTGCTGACAAAAATCCATTGCACTTAATGTGAAGCTTGAGGTATCTGCTCATTCTGGAGATATTCGCAGCCGTCTGTTCTGCTGGCTAGATGGTAAACAACTTGCCAGGGAAGAAAGCCATTGTGACTTTTCCCAGCATGTCTGAGAGGCGTAGGTGCAGACAGCCTCCCTGAGCACAAGGGAGGGCCACATGGTGGTGACGCAAGGGTTGAATGGCCCCCCTCGCCCTTCACAGAGCCCTGCTTTCAGAGTAGCCCCGGTGGAAGGCGGTAGAAGGACACAAAAACCAATGGCTGTTGTCCTGTGAGCTTTTAAAAAACATTCCTTCTGCTGCAGATGTGCATTTCCAAAGGGCGCCTGCGGGCCAACCTGAGCCTTGTTCTTCCCTCTTTGTGTTTGCAGCCACGGCACAGGGTATGAGAGTGATAACCACACCACGCCCATCCTCTGCGGAGCCCAGTACAGAATACACACCCATGGCGTCTTTAGGGGCATTCAGGTGAGAACTCGGGTGTGGGGGGGGGTAGGGGGCTGGCTGGAAGGGTCGTCGGTCTCTTTTCCTTCTCAACAGCCTTTCACTTCCTTGCTGATGATGGTCATTTGGCCCTGGTAAGTCTATTCTTAGTTATAGGCTGCTCTGACAATAAGGTCCTCTCCTCTCCCTCTGGGCAGAGAGGGCAGCCTCCTGTCCACAGGTCATTGTGAACACAGTCATCTCTCTAACTCAGACCAAGAAGCTTCTGGCAGAATCCCATCCTTTGCCCCTTCACTGCTTAATTCATCTCCTCCAGATGGGCTTGCAGCTCTTGTAACTAATGACCTGGACTCCTGACTACCCAAGTCAGACCCTTGACATGGTCTGCATTGTAAAGTGCCCAAAGGTAGGCTGTGTCTTGCCGAGTGTCCTAATAACTGTAACGATAATAACAGCATCCACTCTGTTGGTGCTGCACACTTTCTATATGCCAGGCATTGTGCTGAATTCTGTAATGGGCTTTTTGTCTTAACAGACTTAACTTTTGGAGCAGTTTTAGTTTTAAGGAAAAATTGTGCAGAAAGTACAGAGAGTTCCCATATCCTCCTTCTTCCTCACCCTTCCCCAACAGTCTCTTCTATTGTTAATAGCTTGCATTGGTGTGGTACACTTGTTACAATTAATGAGCCAGTATTGGTGTGTTATTGTTAATGAAAGTCCATAGTGTACATTTAGAGTTGTCTTTTTGTGCTGTGTGGTTCTATAGGATTTGTGAAATGCATAATGCCATGGGTCTACCGTTACATTATCACACAGAATAATTTCACTGCCTAAAAATAAAAATGTCTATGTTCTACCCATTCATCCATCCCCCTCCCCTTTCTCTCTTCCCCCGGACAGCCACTGATCTTTTCATTGTCACTATAGTTTTGCCTTTTCCCCAAATGTCATCTAGTTGGAATCATACAGTTCAGACTGACTTCTGTCACTTAACAATAGCCATTTAAGGTTCATCCATTCTATACTTGAACTTTATTTTTCCATTTAATCCTCACTGAATCTCTATGAGGTAGGTATTAATATCTCCACTTTATGGATGAGGAGACTGAAGGCCAGAGATGAGTGGCTCATCCACAGTCACATATCTACTTATAACACAAGTCTTGTCTGACTCCAGACCTCCTGTTTTGAACCACCATGTTGCATTGCTTCTTAGGGAGACAGAAGGCTGTGAACAGTTTGGGGAAGAGGGGTCTCCAAAGACAGTGAGGAAAGTAAAGTAAAAAGGTAAACATTTTGGAGAATTTGGGGAAGTCAATGGAAGGCCACCTCAACAAAGCTGCTTTTGGGAAGTCAGAACCATATGCAGTGACCAAGGGTTTGCATGTGTGACTTTCACTTGTGACTCTGGCTGTAACATGAATAACTGTGGTGATAGTCTCGCCAGCATAGTCAGTACCCTAGAAATAAGTTGTGTGTGAGCCAGGCCCCCACATGATGTGTGGGGCAGGGTGCTCTGAGATGATCTGATTGATGTTTCCAGAAGCATCAGGGTGATAGAACAGTATGTTCCCCAGCCCAAACCTTCCAAGGGGTACAGAAATACAGAAATCTATTGCAAGGATGGGAAGCATTCTATCAAAGCAAAGTTGTATGTCACTAAGTACTTTTCCTTCAGAAAAGAAGATCTCACAGTGTAAGGCAGTGTGAAATAGAATCTAGAACATAAGCATAGTGTGGAAAATGCACAGGGAAGGGAATGGTTTAAGCTCAGAGGCAGTTCCAGGTGTTAAAACATAGATGTGCTCTTTGGTCCTGACTTTTGCACATCTGTAAGAGAGTGGGGAGGAGTCAGTGGCCACTGGGGTGCTCCCACTGCTCCTGTCTATGAGTCATTGCTCCTGAGAGCAGAAAGGAGAATTTGCCTCACTGGTACCTTTCGCACCTTGTCATGGAGGACTGACCATACACCTACCCACTCCCACAAGATCAAGGGCATAAACAATGAAGAACATGTAAAGTGCACAGAAGGCAAACAATGTCTTCTGGTGGTTTTATTAAACGTTTACATTGGCTATACCATTGGCCTCTGGTGGTTTTAGTCCCTTCACAGAGAGAACCCTCAAATCTCAGGGGCTCCTTTCTTGTTATTTACTTCCACATGGAAAGTCTGGTCAGTTTGGGTCATTTAGTATCCCATATTTTTCTCCAATAAGGACTTCCTTACCCATTGCAGATGGGGCCCGAGGTCATGTGGCCATGTGTCCAGATGGGAGGAAATAGAATAGAACCTGGGAGTTTGGACTTCCAGACTTCACTGCTTCAAGCGGAGAAGCTGAGGGATGGGATGGATTAGGAGCTCTCTCAGTCTCCAGCATTTCTTTTCCAGATCCTCTGGATCAGCATCCCCAAACAGATTTCAATGAAGTACCAATTCTGGTTGATCAATAGTGATGACGTTGAAGCACTGCATTGTAGAATGTCCTGATCTGTCACCCATTAGTGATGTCTGCTGTGGGCACCTGGGGTATGCCTGGGAATGGTCTCAAGTCTCAATATCTGCCATCCCTTCCTTGGGTATATTCTAAAGCTCCCTTTCCCTCAGGACTGACATGAATGTTCACATGTGGCTTAAAGCCTCCATTTCTTTTACACTCTGCTTGCAGGATGTGCGACGTGTGCCCGGAGTTGCCCCGACTCTTGTCAGGTCGGCATCGGAGACCAGTGAGAAACGCCCCTTCATGTGTGCTTACCCGGGCTGCAATAAGAGATATTTTAAGCTGTCACACTTACAGATGCACAGCCGGAAGCACACTGGTAAGTGTGTGCGCAGTCCAGCCTTGTTTCCAGTGCCGTTGGGGCAAGGGTGGTTCAGGAGCTCCTGCTCCTGGCTGTCACACCTCTACGGACACAGGACATTTCTTGGATTGACAGTAGGCAGTGCTTTGAAAGGTCTGGCCAAGGTGATTAAAAAAAAAAAAAAAAAAAAAAAAAAAAAAAAAAAAAAAAAAAAAAAAAAAAAAAGGCTACAGGGGCATTTTGCATCCTGAGTGTCCATCCTTTAATAACAAACATCAGTGAACTGTCTTCAGGAAGGGCCGAGCGAAGGAGAATTCCACATAACTAAAGAGACTTACTTGTGTTTGAATTCAGGCTACATGACCAAATGGTGAGACCTTGAGCAAGTTACTTAACCTCTCTTTGGACCTCATTTTGCCTTGTGGAAGATGGAGATGACAATGCCTACCTTATATAATTGTTAAGACTAGATTAACCTAAAATTATTTTTTAATGTTTATTTTTGAGAGAAAGAGAGAGACAGCATGACTGGGAGAGGCAGAGAGAGAGGGAGACAGAGAATCTGAAGCAGGCTGCAGGCACTGAGCTGTCAGCACAGAGCCCGGTGAGGGGCTTGAACTCATGAGCAGCAAGATCATGACCTGAGTCAGTCAGCTACGTAGCCAACTGAGCCAACCAGGTACCCCAAGGCTAGATTAACTTTTAAAATCAAATTGGATTAAAGGCATTAGATATAAAGCACCTAGTATAGTACCCTATGTGAATAGGTCTGAATAAACAATAGTGTAAGGATTAGAATACTATTAGGTTCTCTAAAGAGAGAGGACCTATTCTGGGAGTTCAGTATTCAGATAATTTTGAGAGAATGATGGACAAGGTCATCATAAGACTTAAGGAGAGATGGTCCAAAGAAAAACTTTTAACTGGTTAGAGTTAGTAATCACCAACCAGATAGGAATAGGAAAATGGATTTGTAGGTTTAATTTTTGTTTTCGATCTTAAAGAAAAAAGATGATTTTTAATGATGTGTCCAGGAAAACTGGATTTTCCCACAGGTCAAAAGATTTGCCTCCTTCTAGGAAAGAGAATGGCCTCGTCTGGTTCTTGGCATCTTGGATGTGAACAGCCATTTCACAAATGTTTGCTGTTGGTCTTGTGGGCACTGGACAGGAGTGTGGTTGGGTCTCTGCTGTAGGGAAACCGTGTGAAACACAAGCTTTCCTGCAGGGGAATTGGTGCCATTTTCCCCTCATAACTGGAAGGACAGCTTCATGGCTACAACTACCCTTACTGTTTTGTTATTACTGCTTATTTTGCTTTGAGGAAGCTGAAGAAGAGAGTGAGTTTACACTCAGTAGACCACATGCTTTGAGGCTAAAGGTGAGAGAACTAGGGGTCTATTAAATTTTTACATGTGTCCCCAAATACGATCATTTGAAAAGTATCTGTTTATGTTATAAGGAAAACGATAGAGTAAAATTGTGACTGGAGAGATACAAGAGAATGCATTGAAAGCAATATGGTGGTCAAAACCTTTAATGGGGAAGAGGCACTTAGCAAACGGTAAAGGGGAGATGTCTGTGTGAAGGGAAAGCAGTGGACAAGATGGCCAAGACTCCCAGACCCACCTGAGGCTCTAAGAAGCTCTTCGTTGCAGAAGACAAGACTGGTATTTAATAGTCCTGCAGCCCTTTTCTTGAAAGAATGCAATCTTAGCTACATGTAATAATATTAAGTACTTCTGTATTAAATACTTTTATGTGCCAGATTCTCCACATGCATTATTTCATTTAATCTTCACACGCTGAACAGTTATCAGGTAGGTAGAATGTAGTGGACGCAGGGCCCAAAGTCATGCCTTTTAACTCCAAGTCACAAATCTCCTTCTCAAAAGTTTATAGTCTGTTTTGGAGCTAGGATACACACAAATGAAAAGAGATGAAGAGAGCATAGGATAATGTACTAGATCAGAGGCTAGAGGAACTTGAGGAGAGTTGCTGATTTGAGCTAAAGTCATCCCAGAAGGAGGAAGGGCTTAAGCTAATCATCAAAGAGTGGGTAAGGTCTGGTAGAGGAAGTCAAGAAGGAGCAGAAGCAGAAAGGCAGGAAAAATAAATTGGACTGAGTAGGGTCGTTGAAGTATAAGGCACTGGGCCAGATGTAAATACAAAGTTAAGGGAAAGCTCCTGCCCTTGGGATTTTCCAGCCCACGGGGGAAGGTAGCCCTGGACACAGCCTCTCACGTTAGATGTTCTATGATAAATTCTGTACTGAGGGAAGAAAGGGCTTTCAGTCTGAACATAAAATTTCCAAGAAGGCGTTGCAGAGGAAGCAAGGGGCATTGGTGAGGGACGTACAGCAGGCTTTTTGATGGGTAGGAATGTGGAGATAGGGACATGTGGTTGGGGTCAGCAAAGTGCAAGGCATATTTGGGGAATGGTGAGCTCTGGTACAGCAGGAATGCAGACTAATCAGGGGGAACAGAGGAAGTTATGAGGCCTGAAAGGCAACTAAGGACTGCCCTGCACCAGGAAGGCTCACTGGTCCTGGGGTAGCTTGCTCCCCATCCCAGAACATTGATGACTCAGAATTCTCATAAGAAGGTGGGAAGGCCCAAGGTCATGCAGTGCACTCATGGGGCTTCGTTCCCAGTATTTGGCTGAACTTTCCCTAGCAAGGACATGGGTGGGGCTTCTCCATTCTGAGGCAGAAAGTTGTGTAATCCCACTACTGAGTTCTCTCGGATAAAGGGATACCAGAAACTTTCTAAATACTTTGGCTCCTGGTTTGATTTGAGTGTCTCACAACCATGGGGCTGTTTGTGCTTGATTCAGGAATGAGAAGTCAGTAGTGGAGAGCACCAAACCTTTAGGCCATAACACATAAAACACTTACATCATGAGGCCAGCTCCAAGGTGTATCCATTCCAGAATTCTGCCTCCAACTCAGTTTAGGCGTTAAGACTTCTTTGGTTTATTATTGATCTAAAGATTCTCTACCAGTATTATTTATTTATTTATTTATTTATTTATTTATTTAATTTATTTATTTTTGAGTAGTGCTCTGTGCTAAGCCCTTTATGTGATGGTCTTGTTTACTATGTTCATAAATCCTTCGACGCTGTCATATTATCGGTCCCATTTCTCAATAAGAAAATAGCACCTCACCCAGAACTTTAAGTGTCAGGGCTGGATGTGACCCTAGTGCAGACTTCAGAACCTGAGCTCCTGTCCACTATAACTCACGGGTTTATAGCTCGCAGGTTAGGGACCATCCTCAATCGCCCAGTTCCCCATTCTACACCCAGCTTGTGTGCAGGCGGGCCTTTAGCCTCACATTGCCGTTGGCCGTACTACCCCAACAAGGTCCACCCAGTGCCTTAGGCATTTGGATCCCTTCAGTCCCCTTAGGAGAAGTTGCCTTTAATGACAACCCCATCTCCAGCGTCATTTTCAAATGGAATGTGTGTCTTCCCCAAGGTGAGAAACCATACCAGTGTGACTTCAAGGACTGTGAGCGAAGGTTTTCTCGTTCAGACCAGCTCAAAAGACACCAAAGGAGACACACAGGTTTGTAGGCTCACTTCTGCTTGCTGGCAGTTATGTTCTGGGTTGCAGCTGCTCTTGTGATTCTCTTTGTTGTTGAATATGGATGTGAGAGGGTTAGCCATTTGTTTAGTTTTTCCAATAATTCCTCCCCACCCAATATCTGGGGATTTTCCTTTTCTTAAAAAAAAAAAAAAGAAAAGAAAGAAAGAAAAGGAAGCATCCCACATTTCTCTTGCAAACCGCAGAACAGTGGGATCCCACCAGCCATCTGCTGATGACACGTCGAGCAGCAGTAAAGAACAGGGCGGTGGAGAGCACAGTCCCAGTTTGTAGCCTGTGATTCACTGTTTCAGTCTCGGACACAGCTGGGAAGTTGGTGAGAAGCTGGATGTTTGTGGTTGAGGACTAGTTGTTCCCAAAACAGAAGCAGGTCTTCAAGGATTACTGTGGCAGAATCAGGTGGTTTCGTGCTAGGCCTGGGGAGCTGGGGGAATCTGAGGGTGAGACAGACATCACAGGTGGCTGGAAATGCCCGGCTCCCCAGGCCACCAGGAGGAGGTCTCGTGGGCCTCATTATGCCCCCACGTTGTTAGGGCTGCGGCTAGACCTTCTCTGTCCGTTTAGGTGTGAAACCATTCCAGTGTAAAACTTGTCAGCGAAAGTTCTCCCGGTCTGACCACCTGAAGACCCACACCAGGACTCATACAGGTAAAACAAGTGCGTAAACTTTTCTTCACATTTATTTTTCATTATTTTTTTAAAAAATACTGTTGAATGAAGTTGTTTGTGATGAAAGAGTGACTGGAAAAGTCTAGCCTAGAAGTTCTGAGCAGGTTTAGACTCAGTTGAGGTAGAACAGTGCAGGGCTGTTTTTAAATAATAACATTGTTTCAGAACAGATAGGGTGGGAACAACGAGCAAGAGGGCGATGTGAAAAGAACGTACTACTGAGTGTCCAGAACAAAAAGAAGAGGTGAAGTAGGTCTCCATTTTCTGTTAAATCACACTGTATCGCTCAGTTTGATAGGATAATCAACTTTATAGAAAAACAGCAGAAATTCTCCCAAGCCAGATGTTTATTCTTTGAAGAGCTCACATCTCATGACACTATTTTCATAGTGAATCCTTGCTGTGCTAAAAATTTAATGTCCCAAGAGCACTCATGGTTTTATCCAGACTCGTATCAGCATATGGCTAGTATTTCCTTTATACTAGTATAGAGGGGGAATTGACATCTATTCCCTGGCTGCTGAAAGTTTTTGCTTTTCCACAAGACTGGTGTGATTCATAATGAAAACAGCTCCATATTTGTTATGTATTTTCTAACTTTGGAAGGAAGGCCAAGGCTTAGGGTTAGTATTTTTGCAAGGTCCTTGTAAGAAGAGGAGGGTAGGCATGTTTTATTCCCATTTACCAGATAAGGAGACTGAGGCGCATAGTCATGAAATGACTTGTTTATAGTCCCAAAGCTAGTAAGTAGCAAACCCAGTTCAGCCTGCTCCCAGCCCCACCATCTCTCTCTTTGTTGGAGAAAGAGCATGGGTTCATCTCGCAGCCCAGAGAGTATAAGAATGAGGAAGGGAGCCAAAGTCAGCAAAGCAGAATGCCCTTGAGAGACTGAGGAGAGTGACTGACCAACAAGAGAAAGGGTTGGGATGTGTGTATCAGGAGATAACCTTTGACAGCGTGGCTGGAGGTTGGGGGGAGGGGCAGGAAGAGCACAGGAATAGTGAGTGGGAGGTGAAGGAAAATGTGAGCTCATGAGCCCTCACGCAGTCCCAGATTCTCAGCCCAAACAGGCTGCATTTACAGAGTCAAGGCACCGGTGCCCCGGAGTTGTGATGGGCATGTCATTTGCCCTACGCAGGTGCCTTTGGTATTGCTTCTTTTCCCTAGTCCTGGCCTCATCATTTGGTGAGAAACTCATCATCCCTTGTACCCACCCCTTCTGCCCTTCTCCCCGCCTCCATCCACCGAACCCTGTGCATATCTGCAGATGCGCAAAATGACCTGTGTCACTGGCAGACTGTTTTCCCGATATTTGACCAGCCCCCAGTCCTGACCCTGGTGCAGTGCCTCCCCTGGGACATTTCTTGGTGCTTGTCCCAAACAGTGGTTCTCATAGGAGAGGTAAACTGGGACCAGTGACATCCTGGAAAGATCTCCCTAGTGTTACAGATCTCGCTAGTGGATCTCCTTGGCTCCTGTGGCACTTTTACTTAGGATAAAGCCACAGCTCTCTTTCCACTATGGCCAGGCCTGGGAGGCAGGATACTGCAAAGTGCACGGGCTTTGGAAAAGACAGACCTGGATTTAAATCCTGCTTGGGTCTGCCCTCACCAGGTGTCCACATCTGATGCTGATGCTGCCCTTACATATTGCAAGGAATACACGAAATAATGTATATAGACGATGCCCAACACAAGGCTGGGCATATATTAAGGCCCTAATTATCTTCCCAGAGGCTTGGGACGAACTTCTGAGAGCTCTTTAGATGGAGAAGTCTCAGTCTTTTGGCAACCTTGTTAAGAATCTTAAAACTATGACTCAACTAGAATAGGGATTTTACTCTGAGTAACGCTTTAAGGTAAAAGATGCAAATATCCTGAAAACTGGTGTCAGTGATTTATTTTAAAATACCCAGCCCATCCAGAATATCTACACAGACAGAGATATTAAAGTTAGTCATAGCTCTGTTCATGGATGGCAATGGATCCGTAATATCCAGGGTAATGATCCTGAGCCCCTGAAGCCCAGTTAAGCTCAATTCCCTGGGGATACAGTGGAGGGAAAACAGTTACACAGTTCCTGAAATGGTCTAACAGCAGAGGCTGAAACAAACCCCCTCGATTACATGTGAATTGCCCAGAAACTTTTGTTAACGAGACTCATTCCTTCCCTGCCATTTCCCCCGTCCTCTGACTTAATAATATTTTATAATTTTTAGTTTTTTACTCCTTAAGAGCCCAGAGGTGCTGCCGCTTCAAGGCTGCCTATGAAGTGAGCCCAGTTTGTTGGCCTAGGGAAAGAACTAGAGGGGATCTAGAGTGGGTATCTTGGGATAATTTAACTTGGGCCTTTGATAGTTGAACTTGTGCCCAGTCTCTCCGCTGCAAGTGTCTCTGACTGGCAATTGTGTCAACAGGTGAAAAGCCCTTCAGCTGTCGGTGGCCTAGCTGTCAGAAAAAGTTTGCCCGGTCAGACGAACTAGTCCGCCATCACAACATGCACCAGAGAAACATGACCAAACTGCAGCTGGCGCTTTGAGGGGTCCGACCTGGGGACGGTTCTGCGTCCCAGGCAGGACTGTGTGTGAACTATTTCCCGCTCTGACTTTAAAGTTCCTCCTCACTCACCTCCCTCAGACGGAAGCGGCAGGCGATCTTCATCCAGCTTCCAAGACAAGATGCCTGTACCACTGGATCCTATCAGGTTCGCCCGGAGGAGGTGCACTCTGCTCCGCCTGCTTTTAGTCGACCCGAAGGCCCTGGCGAAGCGGCTAACAATGTCCAGTTAGCTAACAGCCCATCTCTGCCGTTTGGTCTGGATTTTCCACTGTAAGAAGAGCCATTGTTGATAACGTCCCCCCGCCCTCTTCTCCTTTTACGCTCCTTTTCACTAGGAATGGAGTCATTGTACCATTTTCCATCGTAGAATATTTATAGGCCAGGGCATGTGTATGTGTCTGCTAATGTAAACTTTGTCATGGTTTCCATTTACTAACAGCAAGAAATAAATCAGAGAGCAAGGCACGGGGGCTGAGTTCCGTCCGACATTCCGGAGGTTAGGCAGGCCGCTAACCTGGAAGGCAGGCTGTAGCACTAACCATGCAACTTTAAAACTCCGTGCGTTTCAAGCAGCTGAAAAGAGAATCTGAACTAACCAGTACCTCTGTAGAGAAATCTGAAAGAATTTTTTCATTCAGTTAATACAATGTTAACATTAGCACATGCTGTTAAGAAACTGTGCTTGAAGATCTGAGATTTTGGTTTTGTTTATTTCTGACTTTTTTGAGAGGTAATCCTATGCATCTTCAGAGGTGTACTTATCTCCTCACACAAAGAAAGTGGAATTCATTTTTATCATTTGGGGTGTCCTTCGAGTGTACAGACCACGCTGGTTATGTGGCTTCAAGTTGTAAAAATTAAAGTGACTCTAAAAGAAAATAGGGCTGGTCCAGGATCTCCACTGATAACTTTGAGTCTACCAGTGTATGTGAAAAAATGAGACTTACTAGTGTGAGGAAATCCATTGTTTAAAGGTGGTGGCGTGTGTGTATGTGTGCATGCTTGTGTGTGTGTGTGTGTGTGTGTGTGTGTGTTCAAAGGAGGGTGTTTATTATTTACTGTTGCTTGAAATTATTGTGTAAATAAAAATATCTGATCATGATTTGCTCTTTGACAACTAAAATTAGGAAATGTATAAATGTTAGATGCATCACTGTTTGGTGTTGATCTTACAGCATATCAATGATAACACTAAAAATGTAACCTGCATTTTTCACTTCACTCTCAATTAATTAAAGGCTATTCAAAAGGATAGTGGCAAGATTGTATTGGCTGTATTGTGTTCAAATCTTAAGATAGTTGAGGCTGTCTTAAACAGGTGAGAAGATGCTACCGACATCGACAGTCACAGTCACTAGTGTAGTTTATCCAGGTCCCGACTATTCTGTTTCTCTCTGTCAAACCTCAGGAGGCAATTATCATTTCTGGAAGCAGCCAGCACTATAAAGTGATCATGCTTAAGCTGTAGTCAGATGGGTTTGTGGATGGTATGGTCAGAAGCATGCTTGAGGGTTTATTTTAGTTAGGCTATCATTTTATCACTTTTTATTCCAGGTCAGCAAAAGAGCATAGGGATGCTAATGATAACTGGCCTTTTCTGGAAAGTTCACTTTCCAGAACTTTCTGGTATATACCACAATCAGGAGGCTATAGCTGAACACCTAGCACAATTGAGTTTCCAGCTGTAGTTGCTATAAATTAGCTCCGCAGGTTGAAAACTGCTTAGACTTTCCAGAGCAGCCGAGTGTAAAAGCACATTATACATCATACATGATCTACAAACTCCCTTTCTGGTTCTAGTGTATGGTTTTTCCGTTGTAAATAAGGAAAATAATTTGGCGCTACCCCTCTCAGCTCCATTAGCTTGGAGTTTGCATGCATCCAGGTTTCATTTCTTCATTTAAAATGTATCTTGAGCAGACAGCAGCTCAGCCATGAAGACTTTTCAGCATCTCAAAGTTTGGGCCGCCTGAAAGTAAGGTCCTGAGGCCCCTCTTCGTTTGCATCTGGCTCTTGCATCACTGTTAATTATAGCGAGTATGGTGACTCATTTGTATCAGCCGTTTTTATCTTTTCCTGCCAGAAGACAGCATTTCTCTGGAGAAGCTCAGGACAAGCATGGCAAACGTCAGCAAGTCAGAGCGAGCCAGGTTTCACAACAAAAGCAAAGCCACATTGTTTCAACTGCAGGAGGAAGACCAGAGATTCTCACACTGCCCTAGTGGTTTAGCTTGCAGTTAAGGTCTTGGGCTTTGGAAAGCTGACCAACCTGGGTTCAAATCCAGAATCCCTAGTTTCCTCATCTGTAAAGTAGGGGCCTAAGATTCCCCTGCCGGATAGGATTGTTGTGAAGATTAAATTTAAAAAATAGAAAAGAGGGCACCTGGGTGGCTCATTTGGTTGGCATCCGACTCTTGATTTTGGCTCAGATCATGATTTCATGGTTTGTGAGACTGAGCCCCGACTGGGTCTCCTTACCGACAGTGTGGAGCCTGCTTGAGATTCTCTCTCTCTCCCTGTCTCTCTGCCCCTACCCTGCTTGTGCACTTGCACACTCTCAAAATAAATAAGTAAATAAATAAATATTTTAGAAAAAAAAAAAAGAAAACATCTGGGATATTACAAAGTCTTAATGAGCATTACCTAGGGAAACTATTATCCAGGAATTCACCTGCTAATTTCTGTTTGCCCCCTCACCCCCCCACCGAGCATCCTCTCTCAGTGTCCACCAACTTTAACTCTGCAAAATGGTGCTCCCATTTTCATATGCTCCCAACCAGGGTTAAGGTTTGCAGCAATAGGGCGCTTGCCAGCATCCTCATAGAGACATCTAGTTTTGTGTCTTGCAAAGCACTTGGTGGCCCCGACTGTGTGCTTCTGAGACCCATGGAGCTGACCATCAGTCGACTGTCAGGGTGAGAGCTGGTGAAAGTTGGTCAATGGGAGCTCTCTGTAGCTCTGGTGAGGGGCTCTGGTGGATGCACTTGTCAAAATGTGCATTTTTCCATCGTGCTTTACTGTAGTGTCTAGTTCAGTATATGGTTCAATGTCATTAAAAGGCTCTTTCTTTGCTGGATCTTCTCAGAGTATTCCAGGCACCCTCAGCACTCTCACCTCCAAACTTGTGTTGCACTCTAAGTACAGAACATTAAATAGTACCTCACATGGGTGTAGTGTGTTCCCATCTAGACAATCTGTAAAGTAGACAGGCAAGTATTAATGCCACTTAACAGATGAGGAAGTGGAGGCTCAGTGGAAGCAAGTGGCTGAGGTAGATGTTTTATATTTACCAAATCATGCTTGATGATGCCGACTTGCACTCTGCTCCATTGTTTGGTATCCATAAATCCTATCTTCCCAACCCGAGTGTGAGCTTCTGGAGAGAAATAAATCTCCCCTTTCTGTGTCACTTACATAAAGCTCTTCTCAACCATAAGTGACCATACATGTTACCTGAGGAATTGCTAAGGGGCATACACAGATTTGGAAGGTCTGGGGCAGAGCCTGCGAGTCTTCATTTCTCCCAAGCTCCCAGCTGGGCTGTGGACAACCCTTTATGTAGCAAGGACCTAAAGAGTGGGCTCAATAAATACTTGCTGAAAGGTGACGGGTGAGATTTGCAGCTGCCGGTCGTGGGACCACACTGAACCTTTCTACCCCTGAAAGAGCAGGCAGGGACGACAGCCCAGGGCTGTGCTGCAGTGACCCATGGGGCTGAGGGTGGGGACATTCATCTTGAATGTGGCCAGAAGCACTGCATGTGTATCCATCCCGGTGAATCCATCTACAAGGAGGCTTGTTTTCCAACACAGTCTCCCCATCTTCTGCCAGTGACTTACCACAAACATTGAGGCCACCCTCAATGAGGGGAAGCGTGCCATGTGGTCACACGTGTACATCCAGCCCTTGCACTTTGCTCAGTCCACATCTCAGCAGCAGGCCTCGACCTCCCTGACATCTGTAAACTGGAATCCGGTGGCTTTGGAGAGGACTTACTCCCTGTGAACCAACAGCCTTGCTGGCAGGCAGGAATTCCCCATGGCTTATCCTTACCAGGAACCACTTCTTGAGCACCGTGGGAATCAACAAGCAAAGGCAGTGGCTTCTAGAACTCTACCTTCCCTGCAGGACTTTTGCACTTCTGGTCTTGGACCAATAGGTGTGGCAGGGAGAGGTGTGTGTTTGAGGAGAACAGTGGCTCTCAACTGGGGGCGTTTTTCTTCAAAGCCTCGCAGCAGGCAGGGTGGCTTGTAAGAATTTCTCACAGGTAAAGGCGCCTGGCTGGCTCAGTCAGTTAGGCGTCCAGCTTCAGTTCAGATCACAGTCTCACAGGTTTGTGAGTTTGAGCCCCGCGTCAGGTTCTGTGCCGGCAGCATGGAGCCTGCTTCAAATCCTCTGTCTCTCTCGCTCTCTACCCCTTCCCTGCTCACACCCCCTCCCCAAAAGAAATAAACACACATTAAAAAAAAGAATTTCTCACAAGTAAATGCATAAAGAAAAGTAAGCTTCTACAGCAAAGCAGACTAATCCCTAAGAAAATATAAAGGTGTTGGTCCTTTTCATTTAGGTCTTTGCTTCTAGAAACTGTCTTATGTATTAGGTGATTAAAGTCTGTATAAAGTTTAATAAATACATTTAAATGATCATGATGATGAAAAGCACACCTGGTCTGATTTCTTGCACTGAGAAATAGCTGCTTTAGTGGAGGCTTCTGGGCTTTTCTCCATTTTTCAAGCAAACCCCTAATTCTGTTAGTTTTCTAACTGGCCTTGAGAAGGAATGAGAGAGCCAGACAGCATAGGAAGGGGGCAAAAACCCACCAGCCCAGCCAGCAGCCAGCCAGCAGCCAGCTTACCCAGCCCAGCCAGTGTAGTCAAATCCTAAAAAAAGGTTGGTTTTTCAGAGACAGATGAGAACAAACGCCTGAAGACCCAAGACTCTGGAGAATCAGTGCCTTTTGGCTGAGACTGAAAATCAGCCAGGTATGAGTGGAAGTCTCAGACAGAGAGATTGCTGATGGAAGCAGCTAAGGCAGACGAAATTAGCAAATGCGAGTTTAAGAGATAACACGGTATTTTTATGGAGCAGGGGAGATTGAAGGCTGGTCCGGGGGAGATGGGGCTGAGATAAACGCAGAGCATGGGTTGGTTGAAACGAGCGGCGGTTCCCTTCGCAGCGTCCCAGGAGCGCTGGTGACGTTGACACTGGGTAAGAAGGATTGCCTGACACGGCAGGGATACCGAGGGCCACTGAGGAGGCAGCTGGACTCCGAGAGAAAGAGGAAGGAGGGATGGAAGGAGGGAGGAGAAAACTCTGGGAAGAAAGATGAGACAGATGAGGAATGAAGTGCGGATGTCAGGGAGGTCTGACAGGAAGAAGGGGCTGCTGTGTGACAGGGCCTGACCCCCATATGAACCTACACCAGCACTGTTAACACACACCCAGAGCTCTCCCACATAGAGGTACTCCTGCACTAACATGCGAGTGACAACAACGCGTGCCATTTATCAGACCGTTGTGTGTGGACTAGTGCCAGGCCTGCTCTTATTGGGAATGTTCCCATTTTGCAGATGGGGAAACTAAGGTTCTAGGGAGTTATGTTATACAAGGGGCATACACCTTATATATGGTAGAGTTGAGATTCTAACCCAACTCTCTCTTTTTTTAAAAAAATGTTTTTTTAATGTTTAGAAATGGAAAGAGAGAGAAAGAGCAGGGAAAGAGCAGAGAGAGGAGACAGAATCCCGAACAGGCTATGCACTGTCAGCACAGAGTCTGATGTGGGGCTCAAACTCACAAACCACAGGATCATGACCTGAGCTGAAATCAAGAGTCAGACGCTTAACCGACTGTGCCACCCAGGTGCCCCTAATTCTGATTCTTTTTAAAAAATGTTTATTCATTTGAGAGAGAGAGAGAGAGAGAGGGAATGAGAGGGGAAGGGGCAGACAGAGAGGAAGACACAGAACCCGAAGCAGGCTCCAGGTTCCGAGCTGTCGGCACAGAGCCCAACATGGGGCTTGAACTCACAAACCATGAGATCATGACCTGAGCCGAAGTTGGGCGCTTAACGGACTGAGCCACACAGGCACCCCTAATTCGGACTCTTAACCCCTGCATTGTACCATATTTATTCTCCCGTCTCAGGGCCCATTGGCCCCACAAACCAGAGGAACAACAGCAATACCTTGCCTGCTGGTTTGTTTGGATACTGGGACTGCTTGTCAAGTGCCCAGAGAA